ATTATGGCTAAGGCTACAGTTATACACATCATAATAATATTAAACATCCTGTCTGCTGACAGTCATCAACTTTTCTCTCTAGTTATCCTTGACCAGATGTACCCTGTAGAAACTCATAAGTATGACTAAGCATTTAACAGTCTAACTAGACATCCTATCTCCACTAAACATTTTTAATACATAAAGTATCTATCCAGTTTCTATCTGACTAAAAATACCTAACACGTTTGTGATGTATCTTGACAGCTATTGGACTGATTAAGCTGAAATTTGGTACAGACATTCATGTGTCCCATAGGATGAACTGTAAATTCAGTGAACCTCTTACTTTTGTCAGGCCAAAGTTTGTCCAGTGTTTTTGTTTGACCATCTGCAAAACTAATGGCATTCTAATCAGCCTCAGTTGTACCGTGTTGTTACCAAGTGTTGGCATGCCAACATGCTAAACTAAAATGGTGATACCTGGTAAAATGAACCTATTGTCCAGCGTGATACATTTGTGGAAAAACATTTTAATTAGCCTTTTGTACAGTTATCCCCCCACACATTGAGAAATCCACTCCACGTAGCAGAAATCCACTTATAAAACGTGAATTTTACGTCCCTTAGTGGCATCAAATTCTGTGATCAACGGCACTCATTTACTCCCCCTCAAATGAGACTATGTGCTTTTGTTAACTGTACATGTGACAAAGAACAAACCAGCACATCATTCAAAAACAGAAAAAAAATGTGTTTCATTAACCTTACTGTTTTGGATCCAATTTAGAACGTCGAGAGTGGGCAGCCCACACATAAACTTTAATTTAGAATTAATTCAATGTGCGGAGTTTATGTATAAACCAAAGGTTCCGCTTACCTATAGTTTCTGGCCGGCCCGTTGATGTGTGGGACTGTTCACAACTGCGACTGAAACCAGGGGGTCACACTCTCATCAGGGAAACCAGTAAGATCAGGACCGCATATCAGATCTCCAGCTCAGCTTGGCACAGGATTCCCGCTGTTGGTCCGGGACCATTGCTCGGGAAAATGGACCGGTCGTCTGAAGAGTTCAGCTGGCTCACGGGTCAAACGGCACCAAGTTGAAGGACTGGTTCTTGTTACCATTGCTAACTCTGAGAGACGAGACAGTCCAAGTAACTTCAAAACAGTGCTGATTTATTCAAAGGATCACAGGTAAAATTAACATTACACGCTCAGGTATCTTGCACCTCCAAACTGCTCACAGGCAGATGTAAGATGAAAGACCCTGAACCCACCAGGCCTATACATTATATCCCCTCGGTTGGGCTAGCCCCATACTACACGGAAACGTCAACCGAGACGTCTCTGTTGCCAGCTTTGCAGCTGGCCATAGCAGTAGTCAGAACATGAAGCAAATCAATGTGCGTGTGTGTGTCTGTTGATTAAGTGGTGTGTAACTAAAAACATTCTCACACGACCTCTAGTACATGTCGTGACTTAAACATAAGAACATATTATGGCTAAGGCTACAGTTATACACATCATAATAATATTAAACATCCTGTCTGCTGACAGTCATCAACTTTTCTCTCTAGTTATCCTTGACCAGATGTACCCTGTAGAAACTCATAAGTATGACTAAGCATTTAACAGTCTAACTAGACATCCTATCTCCACTAAACATTTTTAATACATAAAGTATCTATCCAGTTTCTATCTGACTAAAAATACCTAACACGTTTGTGATGTATCTTGACAGCTATTGGACTGATTAAGCTGAAATTTGGTACAGACATTCATGTGTCCCATAGGATGAACTGTAAATTCAGTGAACCTCTTACTTTTGTCAGGCCAAAGTTTGTCCAGTGTTTTTGTTTGACCATCTGCAAAACTAATGGCATTCTAATCAGCCTCAGTTGTACCGTGTTGTTACCAAGTGTTGGCATGCCAACATGCTAAACTAAAATGGTGATACCTGGTAAAAAGTATCCATCAGTATCCATGAAGGGCATTTGACTGATGTGAAGAAGAAAACTGTGGCTTGAGTTCCTCTTCTGCAGCTCCTCAGGAGAGGCAGGTGCTTTGTCAGTGTAATCTACTCTGACACCCTGATAGTTTTCTATTTCCTGCCATATCATCTACTCATTGCAGAGCCCCGCTTGAGAATTAATGAAAACATTTCACTCTAGGTTGACATAAATGGAGCAAATGATGATTTCTTTAGAAATGCGGTAATTATTGGCAAGGAGTTGACAGGGGTCTGCATGGGATGTGCGACTCATTTTGCAAAGGTAGGCAGTTTTCTGCTGCCGTTCACTTCACCTATCTTTTCTGCCCAGAGGCTATTTTAATGCTCTGTTAACATGTTCAACTCATTTGAACAGAGCAAAGCAAGTGATATAGTGTGATGAACACACCTGCAGTACCTGCATTTTGAGTATAATTATACAGGGGTTACATCATATTGTTTGGATGAGTTTTGGGATTTTGTGCTGACAGATGATCTTGGGAGGAATGATGCATTGTTTCATGTTGCTGAAGCCTCTTATTTGATCTGTAAGCTTGTAACTCATTAGATAATGTGTAATGCATCTGTTAGTCATTAAGTATGATTTGCATTTAAATGTGCTGTTTTTCAAGCTATCAGAGCTTTTGTCTACATATTGTGCTTGAGGAGCTTTAGAATACATTTTGATGCGCTGGCATCCGACTCTGAGGGGGGGCTTCACTAAACCTTTAAATTTTGAGACATCTGAAACATGTCACAGTGTGTTGTGTTGTGCTGTGATGCCATAGTGGCAATAGAAAAATCATTTAATAAATCGCAGTGCTAGTTTAGTGTCTGACTGTGCACTCTGACAGAGAAACGGTTTAT